CTAGACTATTTCTATTTGCATATATGAACTTTTCACTGTCTTGGCTATTTCAGTCTCCATAGGATTTCTAAACATCCACCTCCAACTGCCACACAAGGGAATTCCCTGCTATCTCCATAATTAAGCTTTTGGTCCAGGCAAAGTGAGTTGGAGGTGACCTATGTTTTGCCTTGTACTGAACTTACCACCTTTTCCATTCTGTAGCACTGCATTATGGGTGCTTCCAAGCCACAAAATCTCTTTTACTCACCACCAGGTATTCTGTGTAAGTAAGTATTCTAACCATAACAACTAGTGTGACTCCTGCTTGTTCCTCTGCACAAGCAAGATACCGTATTGGCCTGAACATAAGTCGAACCTTTAAAATTGGAGGGGGGAAGGAGGAAAAAAAACCTGAATATAAGCCGCTCCCTTCCTTGCTGCTGCTGGCTGCATATTGGGGGGGGTGCTGTTTTGCCAACGGTCAGAATTTGGGGGGAAAGTGAGGCTTATATTCAGGCCAATACGGTAACAATGGCACCTATTAATTTAGCCTAATTTCCCTAAAATTAATCAAGGTAAATATTAGCATTTATGGAACAATCACATTGCAATAACTTGCATTTCAGTCCAAACACAAACTGAGAATCAGGTAGAGGAGGAGGAGGACAGTTGCCAGCTGCTAAAAAGGAACAGGAGAAGGAATACCGGTACTTAACAGGTGTAATGGCAGAGGTACAAACCACCAATGCAGGTTAAAATCCCACTCAGCAGCTGTTTATATTCAGTATTGCTCCCAAAGAGAATTTTAACCTTTCTGAAAGGGGCCCAGTTATCTATGGTAGCATGACTGGGCTTTGCAAGAGTGACAACTGCCTCACTGATCTGTGTTTTTTAATTTAAAAATACATAGCGGCAAATGTTTGAGCGTTTTATCCTTTTATAAAATTTATAAAATATCAAGCACACATAAAAGAAAAGCCAGTCAAAAAAAAAAAATCAGCACAAACGCAGTCTTAAACAGAGCTGGGAGGATGGCAATGGAAACCTTGAGATGCAGTGGGTTGACAGCGACATCCTATGGCTCTCTTGGAAAATATGAGCAAATGCATGATACATGCTGGAGGAAATGGCTAATGTGAAAGAGATCTCTCCTCCAAGCATGCATTTTCTCAATTAGCATCCCCTTCCTTTTTTTTTTTTTTTGCATTAGCTTTTCTCCTAGTCAAATGCTGTTATGGTCATAGCAAATGAAGACCTCACACTTTAATTCAGAAATACTTGATCTTACCTATAGCACACACAGGACTGCTTTTGGGGCACAAACAGTCCTATGCTGACATCGTGTGGCAAAATACATCTTTGCATGCATGTGGTTTGTGATGCTTTCTCTAGAATGCTGGTACGCAGCACCCTCTTGTGGAAGCACAGCAGACATGCTGGCCAGCAAATACTTTCAAAGTAAAGCAGTTGTGCTTATAAAAATTATTACCAATCCAAAAAAAAGGATATAAGAAAAATTAGGCTAGAGAGAACTAGAACTAGAGAGAAAAATTAGGCTAGAGAGTTTGTTAACAAAGAAGACTTACAGGTGTAGTACTGATTCAATGAAGTCAGTGCTAGTGCCAGGTTATTTTGCACCCTAGACAAGGCTAACGACTTGTACCTGCCCCCAAAAATTGCTAACTTCAATTTTCAAAAGCAGATATCTTGCAGAAGTTCTTCCTAGTATAAAATAAATGTAAAATGTTATCAGAAATTTATAAGAAATAACAAAGACTAATCTATAGAAAACTTTAAAAAATTCTTTCCAGTAGCACCTTAAAGACCAACTAAGTTAGTTCTTGGTATGAGCTTTCGTGTGCATGCACACTTCTTCAGATACTATAGAAAACTGTTTCTCTCAAAAGTCAGCACTGCACCCCTTGAGGTCTGCAGTATATATCTGTAGGGGGGACAAATACCAGAAAATAATCACATAACATCTGATGAGTGCACTGAAATTCCAGAATTCATCTATTTTGGTATCATAGAATAATAATAAAAATGTGCATCAAGTGCCTTCTCAGTATGACCCTTTATAGGTAAAGGTAAAGGGACCCCTGACCATTAGGTCCAGTCATGACCGACTCTGGGGTTGCAGCGCTCATCTCGTTTTATTGGCCGAGGGAGCCGGCGTACAGCTTCCGGGTCATGTGGCCAGCATGACTAAGCCGCTTCTAGCGAACCAGAGCAGCGCACAGAAACGCTGTTTACCTTCCCACACGAGCGGTACCTATTTATCTACTTGCACTTTGAGGTGCTTTCGAACTGCTAGGTTGGCAGGAGCAGGGACCGAGCAATGGGAGCTCACCCCATCGCAGGGATTCGAACCATCGACCTTCTGATCTGCAAGTCCTAGGCTCAGTGGTTTAACCCACAGTGCCAGTTAGCTCCTATTATTTCTAAAAGGGAGGCTCATTTGGTTTTTTTAAACATTCAATATTTTAGGCACACATACACACAAACGTTTTCCAGCTCTGCAATATTTATAGGTAAATTTCACCCTGCTTCTTGGTTTTGCTTAATTATAATGTCTATGTTGTGCCTGAGCTTTGAGACCTGTTCAGGCATTGTCTCAACCTGACGGCCCCCACCACAGAGACTTTCCCCCCATCTGTATAGCGTCTGTGTTGTGCTTTACTTATTACGCCAGAAAGACAGGCACCTATATCTTGTCCAGCATTTTACAAATAAATCAGTGTAAAATTTAAGACCATCTTCTAAACAAGAAAGCTTAAAAGAAGATGGCTCACACTTGCATTCAAGAATAGGTAATGCAATGAATAACCTGTAAGGTTTCTGTGTGCTTGTAGGAAAAGGAAAAGACAGCTTTTATGGGGAAACTGCTAGAGTAGATGAATGAGGTCTCAGACTGAAGCATGGAATAAATTTTGGGTGGAAAGATTTGTCAGTATGAACACACACACACACACACACACACACACACACAAACCCTGAGTTTGGTGGGGACAGGGGTAAAGACTTGAGTCCTTATTGTTCTTGGATGCAAGACTTTTACCCCTCACTTTAAAAAAAAGTCTCTTCAGCCATTAGCTGGAGGTCTAGTTACACATCTCTCTTTAAGGCAGGTTTCCCCAGCAGGTTGCCATCTAGATGTTTTGGAATTTGACTCCTATTATCACTGACCTGCTGAGCTAGCTGACGGGAGATGGAATCCAAAATATCCAGATTGGGGAAGGCTGAATTAGCAGTATAGTCATTGCCACAGTGTGCTTCCCTGTACTTAGCATGATAAATCTGATACCCACACTTCTAACCATGCTTGGACCACCTTTGCTTTTAGAGGGGCTTGCCCAGATTTGGTTATGATCATTAATTGACCATCAGTAAGTATTCAAGCAGCCAGAGAGGTGGTTACAGAGTTTGGAATTGCACCAGCACTCACACTGTCAGCATTAACTGTTTTGTGGCAATTTAGCTGATCTTAATAAAAGATTATTACTCAACTGTGGCTTTTGGATTTATTTATGTTTTAATTGACTACCATGACAACAGTAGTTTCCAGGTTATTATGACTGCAGAGACAGATGTCTTATGCAACAGTCAGATTATTGACTGGGATTCCATTCAAAACTCACATAACCCATTTTAAAACACCTGCCCTGGTTGCCAGTTCATTTCCAGGCCCAATTAAAGGTGCCCATGCTAATGTTTAAAGCATTAAATGACTTTGGCTGCAAATACCCCAGACCACCTTCTACAGACCCTCAAGGGTGTCAACATCAGCAGAGAGGGGACCTCTTTGTAGTTGCACCATTCTCTAAAGCTTGTGTGTGGCACCGGGCATTCTCTGTGGGTGTAGCAGAATGAGAGATTGCATTTGAGGAACTCCATGGAGGTGAGAAGAGGAGAAGGGAGATAGATTATAGTGTCAGAGACTGGCAGGACGCTGACAAGTGTGCACTGGGGAAGAAGGGCTGGAGTCTTGACTCTGGAAAGGGAGTCAGTGATTTGTGGGGAACTGTACTAGCCAGGAGGCATGAACCAAAGGCAGGGGACGCTTTAAAGGTGGAGGGTGGAGCACAGAATGGGTCAGAAGAAAAGGAAGAGCCAAATTACGCTAGTGAAGGGCCATGTGCTTCCCCAGCCTCTCTTGCACCACTGTCTCCCAGAACCAGGAGGGGACTGAAAAGGGATTAGCAGTGGAAGTTGCCACATGGGCGTAGTCTCTGGCTGCATGTGTGCAGCGCTTCGATGAAAGGTACATAAACTGGTGGAGGAGTGGCAACTGCTGCATACAATACCAACCTGGGAATAGCTGCCTAGACACAAAATTGGTATCCAGAGCTGTAGAAACACTGTTATCTTTGAGAATAAAGAGTTAACTATCAGCCGTGTACATTCCTTTGGCTAGTAAGAGGCCCCAGGCAGTATGCCCAATGCTCAGGGATGATGTGTGTTGCAGCCCAGCATCATCTGAAGGACACTAGATTAGCTAGTCCTGCCTTAGTGCATTGCTTCAGGAAGAATCCATCACCTGCTGTAGTGGGCAATACAATCTACTTCATCTCATAATCTTCCCAGGTTCACCTCCTTGAACTTGTTCCTATGCCAATGCTCTACATCTTGAGTGGGGAATGTGCAACCTCCCAGCTGCTGCCAGACTACAACTCCCATTATCCATGGCCTCTGGTCATGCTGAATGGGGCTGATGAAAGTTGCTAGTTCGGCAACATCTGTAGGGCCATAGGTGCTCCCCACTCCTGCTCTATTTGCTGCCACTTATTTGAAGAAGGTCCAAAGAGATGGGGCTCAAAAAACAGCATGCTGGATAGCAGCTTCTTCTGAGGCTGGTTTCTGAATCCAAGTGTGGGTTCAAAAATCCCAGGATACTCTGAGCCCAACAGAAAGGATCAATGAGCCACAGGAGACGTGAGTGAGGTCCACGAGTATTTTACAAATGCTGAACAATTTTGTGTGCAGGAGGAAAAATGAAAAGTATGCAAGAACACCACAGGCATTGTTGGCTTCCAACTTTAATTCAATTTGAAGATGCTTACAGCTTTACATTTGGGGTGAAAACCTACAATTACATACACCTGTAGTATGGCCTTGCGAAGCATGAGCAGGAAATCAGAAACCGGCATTCTATTCCTTCCGGCAAATCGTGAATTGTTCCAGTGCAACGAACAATCATACATTTTATATTTCATTGGTCTTCATTAACATGTCCTTGTGATGCATTAATTTTCTCCTTTCAAGGTAGACGTCAATTCACCAGTTTCTTTTAGTTCCTGGAAACAGAAAAAAAGGGGAGGAAGCATTCAGAGGCTGGTGTCACCAAAAGAACTCTAGTTAGCCTGTAATTCAGATTTCCTCAACCTGGTGCCCTCAAGACTCCAACTCCCATTACCCCTAATCAAGCGATTTTAACAAGAGGACAGAGAGATACCCAAAAGCTTCTGTTGCTTTAGAAGTTGGACCTACCAGTCCGACAACTGGTAGCCATCTCTTTGGTAGAAGCCAGGAGACCAGAGAAGACTGCAGAAGATAACTGCAGTTGCCCCAGCTGCGGCAGTGAGCAGTCACCCCTGCAGACTCCTTAGAAAGGGGCAGGCGTAGCAGATGAGGCAAAACAAGCAGGATGCCATCATTGTTTTAGGCATTTCTACTGCTGGGAGTTGGGGAGGGAAGAGTGAAGCAAACAGTTTTGGTCTTAGCTATGCCTTGAAAAAGCAAGGCGTCGCCATTCCTTTGGACCAGGTTACCTGAAAGATCACCTTCTCTTTAAAAGCCCCTTCTCAAAATGCACCACCAAGTGAAGTGAAGCAGATGGTTTCAGGAAGAGCCCACCCCCACTGAGAAATAGCCTCCCAAGAAAAGCTCGCCTGCTGCCTTCTTTATGGTCTTTTTGGTTCCAGGTAAATGACTTTTTTATTTTTCTTTAGGATTTTTTACCTTGCTCAAAGAAAATTCTTCATTGGTATCAAGTCCATTATATATAATATGACTAAAACACCAGCTAATTAAAAATAAAAAAGGTATAAGGTACCCTGCCCGTAGGGCCAGTCTGCCAGAACTCTAAGGTTGTGCCCATCCCTCATAGTGCCGCCAGCGCTTCCGGAGACACTGGTCACGTGCACAGCGTGACAAGCTGCATCTGGCGAGCCAGCGCAGCACACGGAACTGTTATTCCGCAGTAAGCGGTCTATTACTACTTGCCCGGGGGTGTTCGAACTGCTAATTGGCAGGCGCTGGTACGAGCAGCACTAGCGCACCCACGCCGGGATTCGAACCCCGACCTTCGATCGGCAGTCCCAGTCGAGGCTTAACCTACAGCGACCCGGCCGTCTAATTAAAAATAAGTATATATAAACCATCATTATGGTTGGTTTGTCATGGTGGCTGTTCTGTGTTTATGGTATATAAATGTAATAAATAAATAAATTTATGGTATAATATACTTATACTAATGTTTTCAAATATGTTGTAAGTTACTTGGAGACCTCTGGGTAACAAAAGACTAACAAGTCCAATAGATGATTATTATTAACATATAACACCGATAAAATGTTTAAAATGAACACTTTATTCTCCCAAGCTGTCATCTTAAAATCTCAACTTTTATTCCACTGCCCATATAGTGTATCTTAAATTATACTGAGAATTTGGTTTTAGGCCTTTCTCTACCAGAACTTTTATGTTTCAAATGTTTTTATGGTTTTTTTTGTATTCTTCTTACTAAGAAGTTTGGGGGGGGACTTAGATCTATTATTCGGCACGCAAATACCAGAAATAAAAAATAATAAATATAATCTTAGTAAGATCAACAAAGAAAAAGCTTGGGCAGGTTAATAGATTAAAAATAGGTTCTTTAACTGGGCATAATAAAAGATTCTTTATGTACTTTTTATTAACCGTTATATTTTTTTTGGGGGGGAGGGAAATGAGAGAATGATGCTGACCTAGAAAAACTTCCAAAATTACTAAACTTAACTTTAAACAACATTTTGTCAACTTCAATTTATTCAATGCCCTCTAAAAGGCAGATTAACATGACTAATTTCCCAATCTCTTTAAAAGCTATATAAAAAGAACCCTTTAAAGCACTACACCGAGAAATAAATGTGTGGGGTTTATTTTTTAAAAAAAATGGATACATGAGCAACGTAATACCAACTTCTTTTTAAAACCTAATGAGATTTATTGATTCTGTCTTCCCGGGAGTTACAGTGCCTATGGTATTGGCTATAAAACATTCAAGACAAGAATAGGCTCAAGAGTATTTGGGTTTAGAAGCCTGCGCTTGTTCTGTTGCACACAGACACAAAAATATATATCAGAAGATGCAGTTAACAAATGCAGATCTATTTTTGTTGCTCAGGGCCTTTTCAAGAAAGCACACAATAAAGCCTTACCTTTTCTCAGGAATGAGAGACAGTTTGCTAGGCAAAATGTCATCACCTTACTCAAGAAAACACAACGTCAAAAAACTAAAACTGGGAACCAAATGAAAAGCTGTAAATGCACCCACAGGGGCGAAATGGTTCTTACAGGAAGGTAAGTGACTACTGTCAAGAAAATACATTTCAGTGCTACACTAGCAGGCAACATAGTTGCACACTGGAGATTTAGGGCTCCTTTCACCAATATATTAAGCTAATGATGAGTCACAGGAAAAACCAACTAAGTCACTCAGTCTCAAATCAAAAAAAGGATCAGAAAAAGGAGTGTGTGTGGATGTGTGTGTGTGTGTGTGTCACCTCACCATGGCTGAACAAAGGGGAGAGATGCTCAAAAAAGGAAGAAGAAAACTCAAAATGCAGAGAAAACGCAGAGATAGATCAGTCTAGATGTAGGTGGGCAGGGAGGAATGCATAATAATAGAGAGATTTACTTTGGAAATTTAAACGCTGCCCTTCCAATGGGTTTGCATTGCGTAGGGCACCTTACAACTTACACCTTACAATTAAAAAAATCACATAGTATTTACGGCTGCTGTGTTATCAGCAGATAAAACCTCTGAACAACTAGGATTGTTTCTAAAGGATGTAAATAAAGGCACCAACCAAGGCAGGTTAAATGTCTGCCAGAATAAAAATGCTTTTTTGACCTGCCAGCAAAAAAAATAGGGGGACGGTGGAGTTCAACCGATCTCACAGAGCAAGATAATGAATGGCTGCTAGCCGCAGTGGACTGTGTTTTTACTTCCATTGTCAGAGACAGCATGCATCTGAATATTAGTTGATGGGAATCACAGGTGGGGCAAGTGCTGTGCAGTGAGGTTCTGATGAGGGCTTCTCACTGGCATCTGGTTAGCCACAGTCAGAACAGGATGATGGGATAGATGGGCCCTTGGCTTGACCCATCAGGCCTCTCCTTATGTTCTTGTGCAACTAGTTATGGCTGTGATCTCAACCCAACTGACCAGGACTCAGCCACAGCTACGACACAAGAGAAAGGAGCAGGTAAGCTGATATGGAAATTGATGGTTCTTTGGGTATCCTGGACCAAGACATGTTTTTATTGGCTAATGACTCTTCAAAGTGATGGTGTTTGCTGTTTAGGGATGTAAGAAGGAAAAAACCACCCGTTCGAAGAGCGACTGACAATAAAAACATGTCCAATATAAATGAGAACAAAATTTAGGAAGAACCTTTTTTTAAGACTAAAGATGACACACACCTGCCAACTATTAGGTCTTTGCTTACCTTCACAATATCCAGGCCTCCAACAAGTTCCCCTTTCACATACAACTGGGGGTAGGTTGGCCAGTTTGAATACTTTTTTAATCCTTGCCGCACCTAAAGAGAATAAACACTTGGTCAGCCTTCCACGGTGCAGTTTTTAAAGATGATGACAGGAAAAGCGCAAGCAAACAACGTACCTCTTCATCCTCCAATATATCAAACGTTTCATAATCAACACTAAAAAAAAAGAATAATATAAAAAAGGGTTTTATTATACAAGCTAGGAATATTCACTCAGCTACGCTAATTTCTATCGCTTATTTATCAGTGTAAAAGTGATCCCAGCGACTGTATTTCAAGAGTAAAATGCAAGACGTTGCAATACTGTAGTGATATATTTGTTTATTTAGAGAATTTGTAGCCCTCCCTTCAGCCAAAAAAGGCTCCCAGAGTGGCTTACATTACAATCAATTAAAACAAAACAGTCCCTGCCCACAATACTCACAATTTTAAAGAAAAACGACACACAAGGGAAAGGGGACAGGGAGGGAAGAGGAAAATATACTATATATTTGGTGAAATATCCTAATAAAAGAGAGAAATGTTTACTGAAGACTAGCCCATAATCTATACAGGCCAATCCATTTATGCAAATGGAAGTTAACTGGGCAAGGAATAGCTCAGTTGGTAGAGCACGAGACTCTTAATCTCAAGGTCGTGGGTTCGAGCCCCACATTGGGCAAAAGATTCCTGCATTGCAGGGTTGGACTAGATGACCCTCGTGGTCCCTCCCAACTCTACAATTCTATTATTTTATGGTTCTGTGACATAGGTCAGCTCCACCATTTGCAGATGTTGCGGAGGAGGGGCTGAGGGGAAGGCTAGAGGTGAACCAAAGGGAGCCCCTGATCACCTAACACTAACATGCAACATGTTCCTAAGATCAGCTTCTGTAGAGGCACACTGCAAAGCAGCCAAGGTAGCACCTCTCAGGCAAAAGGAAGCATTTCCTCACACAGTTCAGAGGTGCTGCGACATTTGCTATTACAAGATTGTAGTAATAGCCACCAACTTGGATGGTTTAAAAAGGGGTTATGGATGTGTCTTGGTGGCTGGGGTAGTACTTCCAGTATCAGAAACACTGTGCCACTGTTGCGAATGGAGACTGCTGCTGTGCTGAGATGCTGCTTGTGGACTTTTCATAGGTTTCTAGTTGACCACTGAGAGAAGAGAATGCTGGAAGAGACGGCCCTTTCGTCTGATCTAGCAGCGCTGTTCCTATATATCTGTGCTCTTACTTTAAGAACAGATTCAAGGCAGAAAAATATTTACATACCCAGTACCGTTTAGAATTTCTAGAATTTGCTTGCTGAATCCACACTTCGCCATCTGCAATAAGAAAAAAACAACTCTGACGTGCATTATGTTCCAGTGCATGTATGTGGCATGTAGCAATCCCAAGTAAGTGTTTGAAGCACATTTATACACAACATTTTTATTTTCCACCTTCGCTACACCAAAGGTGAGGCTCTCAAGATGTTGTACTATGCCGTTTGCTGGCCATGCTAGATGGAGGTAATGGAAACTGAGGTCCGTGTGGCGCAGTGTAGTGGTTAGAGTGTTGGACTAGGACCTGGGAGACCAGGGTTCACATCGCCACTTGGCCATGACTTTGGGCCAGTCACCACCTCTCAGCCTACCCTGCTTCACCGGGTTGTTGTGGGGATTAAATGGAGAATCATGTACACCACCTTGAAAGCCTTGAAGAAAAAGGTGGGATATAAATAAAGGGTTCCACACCCCTGCACTTCATCATCAGAAACCGAAACATGTGGCTACTTTACCAACTCCTTAGGAATTCTCAGGGAATGAATTATATTTGCCATCAACATCTGCTCGAGCAAAAATTTCCCATAGCAACCCATTACTCATATTGCATAATTAGGGTTGCGCTTTTTGCAGCTGTCACAATGACGACGCAGTTGCCAGTGCCCCTCATGGTTCACATGGACTGTGGTTGTATACCCATGTACACATCTGTATATGACCACGCAGGGAAGTAAGCAGTGTGAACTGCCCCATTCTACCCTCTGAGCTAAGGTGTCAGGAGAAGAGGAAAAAGAGATTGTTCTGTTGTGGCACCACATTGATGGAACCTGGTGCCAACACTGTTATCATTTCAGCCCCAGGCAAAGGTATCTTTATGGCTCCTAAGCCTTTAATGTATTATTTTAGCATGCTGTTAAAACGTATCCTTTTTTAAAGCCTTCTGTGTTTTCGTGCTCTAGAAAGCCATGCTGAAGGGGTGAAATTAAATATTTTCTTCATTCCCTACTTGCAGCAGCTGTCGGCTTGCTGTGTAGAGGTGAAAAACCCACAGCACCCATATGACCACTACGTTACCTCCAGTATCAGAGAGAGTATGGTTCTGAACAGGCATCTAGTTGGCCGCCTTGAGAACAGAACGCTGGACTAGATGAAACGTCTTCCAATCCAGCAGGGCTCAACTTGTGTTCTTACGTTTATGATCTTTCACAGCCAGGCGCACTCCAGATGCTTTAAAATGACAACTCCCATCATCCCCAACTACTGGCTACACTGGCTGGGGTTTATAGGAGCTATACTCCAAAACATCTGGGTGCCACTAGGCTGGGGACAGCTGGCCTAAAGGATTTTAAGCACTAAAAGCATTTCCAAGAGCCTTACCTGCTTATTTCCTTTCATAAAGAGCATCACAGAAGCTTTGTTTATCAGGTCTTTAAGCCTAAAACAAGAGGCGGGGGGAAATACAGATAAAGTAGAAGAGTCTTAGATAAAGGATTTTTTACCTGGGTAAAAAAGGCAATACAGGAATTTAGCCTAAAAATTGTCTAGTTTTAGAGCCACAGTGCTCCGGTTAATAATAATCGTAATTATTGTAAAAGTCGTCGTTATGATTATCATTATCATTATTATTATTGGCTGTCCCTCTGACCGCGTTGGCCCACAATAAAACATCAAACATTAGAAACTTCCCTTCCCAGGGCTGCCTTCAGATGTCTTCTAAAGGTTGTATAGTTACTTATATCCTTGACATCTGATGGAAGGGTTGTTCCACAGGGCGGGTGCCACTACCGAGAAGGCCCTCTGCCTGGTTCCCTGTAACTTCACGTTTCACAGTGAGGGAACCACCAGAAGGCCCTCAGAGCTGGACCTCAGTGTCTGGGCTGACCAATGTGAGTGGAGATGCTCCTTCAGGTATACTGGGCCGAGGCCGTTTAGGGCTTTAAAGGTCAGCACCAACACTTTGAATTGTGCTTGGAAACGTACTGGGAGCCAATGTAGTCAGAACCAATGTTATACAGTCCCAGAGGCCACTCCCAGTCACCAGTCTAGCAGACGTAGGCTGGATTAGTTGTAGTTTCCAAGTCCCCAACAAGGTTACTGTGTATTCTGCTTGACCTGTTGCCTGCTTTCCTCCCAACGTTTTATTTCTAACCAAGTTTCACAACTAGACTAGTGGAATCAGTGTGCAATTGCCACCCTCGGGATTCAGGAATCCCCACACACCTAGATCACTTGGTCCACATTATTGGAAGTCCAAGACCAGTGTGGACAAAGGCAGGAATTTGCCCTATTCTCGGGGAGAAGCAGAGGGCTGGATTGCACTCTGCGTAAATTGCAAAGCATTGGCTGGAGGTGTGAGGCACGCTGGTACAGGATGAGACAATTTAACAAAAAATAAAATATCCCCAGTTTTACCCCTTTGCTTTAGGGGCTGAAGGTGACCCAAAAAAAGGTGAGGTGGCAGCAAATACCAGGTAGCAAGATCTGGCTGGCAGCTCTACAGGGTTGTTGTGGGCAAGGAAAATGAAGGTGAATGAAAACCATAAGGCACAGAATTCTGTGTACCATGCACAGTAATCCTACACAGCAATAATTTCAATGGGGAGATCATTAATGGAATATGTGATTTTCCTTCGCAATATTTTTTTTAAAAGGTAAAATGTATCATACCTGTCTTCTATTTTATGTGCCTTTGGGCAGGTCGTCTCCAGCTCTCCAGAAGCCTCAAGCTCCTGAAAAGAGAATTATTTCAAATTCATAAACAAAACACTATTTTAAAATTACGTTACTGAAAATGCAGATCTTTTGTTTTCTTACCTTAACAATGTCCAGTCCGCCTATAAGTTCCCCAGCTACGTATAACTGTGGGTAAGTAGGCCAGCTGGAGTAGGTTTTCAGGCCCTGACGTACTTCTTCATCAGAAAATATATCGAAGCTGCTATACGCAATGTTATGTTTGTTAAGAATCTCCACTATTTGTCTGCTGAAGCCTGGAGGTTACGGGAATAAGAAAAAGAAAAGCACAGACCTTAACAAGGCTTTAACTTTAACCCAAAACTGTGGTCTAGTGTCTACATTATAGCTTATATTAACGTGTGTTGCAAGAAAGCTGCCCCCACAAACAAGGTAAATCTCAAAGGAAGGCAATGGTTATCCAAATTGCATACCCTAGCAAAAACTACAGAGCTGAGTTTACAGAGCTTGTCCTGCTGCTTGCTCTGTTTTGAAGTGTGTTGTCCAGTTTAGGCAAAATCAAACCCAAATGCACATGCATATAAATGTAATGCTTTGATCCAACCAAGGCTCTTATTTTAATATTTAGGTAGATATATTTACAACATAATGAATATTGCTTCAATCCCCTTAAAAAAAAACACTTTCAAGAATGCAGATTCAACTTATACTGAGTTGGCATTAGTCTTATCAGTGTAAACAGAATTAATTTCCAAATAAATCATACAGTTCAATTTCTGAACAAAATCTACCTTTTTTAACTATAATACGAAATTTTGATATTTGAACTGTTTGAAGCACTGCATGTCCCAAATCTGTAAGTCTGCACAATTTTTCTCCACATAGAAATATTTCAACCACACAAATTTCAGAAAAACAACATTAACCTAACTCCTTAATTAGCAACTTGCATAAATATCAGTGTAATAAACCTGCATAAATATCAGTTTTGAAACCACAACCCATATCAAGTTTGGCATATTTTTCTGCTGCTTTAAAATCCTTTCCTAAAGAAAAATTATCTTCCTCAGACAACTAAATATCCAGTATATAAATTAAAGTAGCTCTACCTGGTGAGACCTGAAACACCTCACACCAATTTTCAAAAGGTTCTAATAAATGGGATTTAAAGCAACAAATTTTAAAAAGTTTCAGGCACATACAGACAAAAGGAACCTTTACATGATTTTCCATCTCACAAATTCATCCATTACTTTTGATATGTGCTGTAGCTCCAGGTCCTCCATGATCTGCATTTTGAGCCATGAGCAAGTAGCATTTATTTATATGGCATCTAAGTTGCTTTTCTTCCACAACTGAAGCATTAAGTTCTTGTACAGCCTGGAGTGAAACAAGAATCCCGAATTCCACTTCCCCCCACTACCACCAACCCGCCATTCATCTGGGAGTTCATTAGTAAACAGCTACAGGCTGATTGCTGATGGTTATTCTGCTGCCAATATATTAACTCGTTTCTACTGTAAGAGGCTGAGAGAAGGAGAGAGAAAGAGAGCGCTTCGTTTTAGCTGTAGGCAACTCCATGCAGACGAGAAAGATTGATTGGTGGCGGTTCATTTTTAAGGGTTAAAGTAGCAGACTGGAAATGTTATGCTTAGGGATAAAGTGCCAACGCTGCTTTATTCCCATAACAAAAGGTTTAGGCTGACTTTCTGAGCAAACACCATCTGAGCAACGCAAGAGCTAATGAAAGCGCCGCTGAAGTGCGCGTACGTGAACACACAGGCCGCTTGAAGAGTGGTGCGGACGCTGCGCTGCCAGTGATAGGAAGCTAAGTACAATTATAATACTAATGATGTAAGCAAGCAACAAGCCCGTGAGCACAGAGCCAAGGGGATAGACCTCATTTAACATTATTATGAATTGGCTTTCCGTAGGAAGTGGCGAAATGTAGGACATAACAAGGATTTCTGATTCCACACCAAGATCCAATTACGCTCCGTTGCAATCGACAACCTGCTATTAGTATGAAAATTAGCCTGGACACCATCCATCAGGAACCTCTTCTGCACAAGATGCATTGTGCAGAAGCTCCCGGCTGACCCGCTCCTGGGCCTGAAGCTGCATTGCAAGCCGAGGGGGCTGAACTCCAGTAAAAGGCCAAGGGGCTGCTTTCTTACCCTAAGCCTGGGGCCACTCAGCTGTGGCACAATGTACATTATCGGACTACAACACCCAGAGCCTCAGACAGTGCTGGCTACGGCTGACAGGGCCCAAGCAACATGGGGGCCACCACAGGTTAGCCCCTTCCTACCATCCCTACAGCTAGTCCCCTCCGTTGTCAACACAGCTGTCCTAGCAGTCCACTTGAGGAAATAAAGACTGGCTTACTATTGTGTTAGCTGTGTTAGTTGTGGCACATATTATGAACGGCATTGGCTAGTGAGGTGTGTATGGATATATAGCCCAGTCACGACAAATGTCTCTCTAAGCCCAAGGAACTATATATATTCAATTTATTATAGAACAGCAAAGGAGAGCAGCAATGTTATCTTCAGCCTTAGTAAAGGTAAAGGTACCCCTGCCCATACGGGCCAGTCGTGACCGACTCTAGGGTTGTGCGCTCATCTCACTTAAGAGGCCGGGAGCCGGCGCCATCTGAAGACACTTCCGGGTCACGTGGCCAGCGTGACAAAGCTGCACTGGTGAACCAGCACCAGGCCGCACACGGAAACGCCGTTTACCTTCCCGCTATAAAGCGGTACCTATTTATCTACTTGCACTTAAGGGTGCTTTTGAACTGCTAGGTGGGCAGGAGCTGGGACTGAAAGACGGGAGCTCACCCCGCCGCGGGGATTCGAACCGCCGACCTTACGATCGGCAAGTCCTAGGCACTGAGGTTTTACCCACAGCGCCACCCGCGTCCCTTACTTCGCACTAATTCTGATCCTCCCAGATTACATGCAAATCACACCAGCTTTTGGAACTTGCTGCCCACCTGCAACTAGCAATTGCCCTCAAAAGACCACCGAGATAGTGAATTATGTCTACCTTGCTAGAGACACACTCTCCTCCCACCCCCCTGGACTGGTGGACTTGCAGGCTGCACTGCGTTAACACGCCCTTGTCAAGGCATCGCAAATAGCTCAGCTTCTCCCTCTTGTAGAAGGAATATGCATACGGTGCATGTGCAGCCAGTACCAAACCGCATAAGCACAGTATCGTACTGTGGTGCTTACGTATGCACCATGTCACATGAAGGCATCTGTACATGAGAAATATTAAAGCTCTCCATAGAGCCATATTAAGATGCAAGCTTCAAACCTGAAGCCACTGCTCAATCTGCAACCCCATACAGTAGGGTGATTTTTTATGTCTCAGAGCGAAGAGGGGGAACCTAACTAGGGCATTGTTTTCATTCTTAGAATTCAATGGCAGCATTAGAAAGATGCCCTTGCTGGGACTCTGTTTGCTTATAAGCTTGTGGGGAGAGAACAAAAAAAATGTATAATGAGTTACCAGGGCCTAGGAATCCATTTGCCATACCTTGATCTCCATTATTTCCATTTAGTTCATTTTTCTTTTTTAAAGTTGGTATATGAACATTATTGGTAATGAAAAGACAGTACATTCCATAATTAGAGCCATTTCCAGAGGAAAAAGAAAATGAAGATTCAGTAAGGGTACCAAATTGGCTCAAGGAATCAAAAATTTTATTCTTGGGTTATACCACCTAAATGTCAATGTGTCCTTTAACAAAATCACTAACCTGACAGGTTCAGTGATGGAATGTCAATTAATTTTCACCAATGGATGTTAACAAGAAGCGATTCTGAAATGTTTTCTTATAGGCTGCTAACTGCCATCCCTAAACAAATGCTTATGCTATGTCTCTTATGGTATGTATTGCTCAGACTGATGCTCGTGCAATGGACCTCGGTGATACACCTTGAGTTTCTGAGGGCAACTACTCTGTCACTTGACCCTGAAAATCTGCTGCTTGCTTAAAACATCTCCCTCTGCACGGTTTTAAGTCATGTCCTGTTCTACTCCCCTTTTAATTTCATTGTTCAATCAGCACACAGCTATTCTTACAGAGCAACATGCTGCATGCGAGGACCTCTGCACACTGACAAATAGATTGTTGAAGGGGAGGAGGCAGAAAACAGAAAAAGTTAGAACTGGACCCAAGCACAAAAAAAGTTTGAGAACAGTGCTCTGGCTTGATGACTGTGGCTTTAAGCCTCAACTCATTCAGGCAATACAGCTGTGTGGACATGGCTGGACTTGGGCTGCTAGGTGCCCTGGACACAGTGGAAACCTATATTTGCATCACCGTTATTCTCCATCCATCTCCATTCCAACTCCACTCTAAGGCCCTAAACCTCTGGCCTAACCAACTGTTGATCTAGCAACCATATTCTACTTTTCGGAACCTAACAAGATGGTGGGCCAATACAAAGGCTATAGTGTGGCTGCAGCTAATGGGGTACAAGGCAGCCTTGAAGGGGAACAGCACTATCCCAATCGACTTATCCCCTCTGGAGCCTAGGACAACAGTTCCATTTGTTGCAAAGGGTGGACTAACAATGGTGACAAGAATAGCAGCCACTCAGATAGAAAGAGTAAGATATAATATCGTTAGATACTCCTTAGGTATCTAGCCCTGCTGAATAAAATAGAAATTCAAGACAGTTCCTACCGCAACGAGGCTCCTGGGGTGTTCCCTTCATAAACAGCATGCAAGGTGCAGCATTTGTCAGTTTCTGGAGTCGCACATTCAGGTCTTCTTTCACGTTGTCATTAGAGCCAGGCGGAATGGTCGAGCTGGAGGCGTGGCGCTGGACTTTCTTGGTCAGTTCTGGTGCATGAGCACCGTCTAATCGGTCAATTTTTTGGGAATTCTACCAACAGAGAACAGCAGTTTGGGCAGACATTATGAACTTCACAAGCACAGTCTTTAAAAAGCTAGTGGAATTTGAACACACATACTCTCTCTCTCTCTCGCTAGACCATATACAAGTGTTATTTTGTAGGATTCAAGTCAAAGCAGGTTAAAAGCCCCCAGAGAAATCCACTGAGTGCTACTGGTGTACAATCTCATTTCTATAGGGCTAACACAACTGAAGGGAGCACACACATGGCCAGAACGTGTAGTAGGTTAACTAACCCAAGCTCTGCACTTGGTGAATGGAATTTTGTTAGAACTCGCTTTAACAACAATGTCATTACCTGCCAAAAGGATTTTGGACGGATCACCACAACGAGCTTAGGAACCAATCAATAGTCATCTCCACATCACTATCCAACAGTGTTAAAAGGTTTCAAATTCAGGAACTGCCTGGTGATGCAGAACGTATTTCTCAAAAAAAAATGTTTCTGCAAGTTACAGCGTAGGGTAGCTTCAAATTTTTTGAAATGGGCCTTCACCACATGGCTAAGACGAATGCAATTCCCAGCGTTCCCAAATTAATCAAATGTTACCTCTGAACAAAGTATCACACCAGCACGGAGAACAGAGAACATCATAAGCATCCATGGAAGTAAGCAAGCTAAAAAAAGGCTTACCTTAAAAAACAAGAATGTTGGGACTGAAGTAATTTCATATTTTTCAGACACTTCGGGAACCGCTTCAGCTTCCAGCTTAAAAACAAACAAACATAAAACATCTTTTGTTTCCAAGCTCTTATTTATAGTTTAGATTGCGCTGGCTGATCTTGTCTACACTGTTCTTTTAGTCATGTTAAATGTTTAAAAAGGATTTCAGTGCAAAAGTTTGTGACACATTTGCATTTAAATGAAACTCACAGGAAGGCTTGTCATCCACTGAGCCTGCAGTGTCAAAACAGGTTCAGAGGTTTTTATTTTGTTGCACATTTCAAAAGATGCCTGGAGGCTGTGAATAAAAATTTTGGTGCACTAGTGACCTAGTAAATTTTCAATCATATGCAGCTACTACTATATTGAAATCCATAAATCACTGACCCCAGTTATGTCATGATTACAGTGCTTATTTTCTGCCCACAGCAATTCTTGCTGTTTGCTCTATTGACTAATTTCAAGAGGCAGTACATCATGACTGACATTTGCAGCCTTCTGCAAATTATGAAGCAAAAAAGGAGTATTTCTTCAATAAACTATTGATGCCTGCTAAATTTTTGTTTTTAACTCTTGCAAGACTGCTAGATATTAGTATACTACTGACCTGAAACCTAAACAGATCATCAAATACAAAATTGTAGAAAATGCAAATACCAAATACATTTCCATTTACAGACACAGGAGACACATATGATTCAACTATAAAGGACTATATGACTGTTGGGAAACGGGAGGCAGATAGGGTAGTTTGCTTAAGAGCACATTAATTCTGGCATGTGATATACATGTGTGAATGCCTGAAATATTGGTGAATGTTGACATTAGCATGTGAATGCCGATATCCCCAATGAGTTTTGTGGATATCCTAAAACAGATATCTTTTAAACACAGTATTCACTGGGGTTTCTGAGCTGGGGAAGGGTCACAGCTCATCTGATTTCCATGCAGCAAGCCCCAGGGTCCAATCCTCAGCATCTCCAGGTAGGACAAAATCCCGTAGAGCCGTCGCCAGAAAATGTGGATAATACTGAGTTAGCTATGTTCCTATGCCCTTAGAACAGAGGCTCTCTTTGGGAGGACGTATGCTTCTGCATACCCGTTGCTGGAAAATGCAGGAGGCGAGAGTGCTATTGCGCTCAGCTCTTGGCTTCTAGGCTCCCCATAGGCATCTAGCTGACCACTGTGAGAACAGGAAGCGTGTCTAGATGTGTGACTGGCTCTTCTCATGTTCTTCATTGTTGGAGATTCACAGCATTTGGGAGGCCTATCAACATTTAAGCTGTCTTAAACCGAGTGAATTTCATGTCACGCATACATGGCGATTTGTAAGTGGAAACAGCAAGACGGAATGAGCTACTTGAACTTTAAAGAAAACCCGGTGACTATTTGTTGTGAAGATAAAGGGTAATGAGACATTAGGGGTGAAGAGAGATAAATTAGGAGACCAAAGTCACATTGACATCTTGCACTTTATCCTGAAACTACAAAAAATCAGTACACGTCGATGCAAATTTTCAATACAGTGGTACCTCAGGTTAAGTACTTAATTCGTTCCAGAGGTCCGTACTTAACCTGAAACTGTTCTTAACCTGAAGCACCACTTTAGCTAATGGGGCCTCCTGCTGCTGCAGTGCCGCCGGAGCACGATTTCTGTTCTCATCCTGAAGCAAAGTTCTTAACCTGAGGTAATATTTCTGGGTTAGCGGGGTCTGTAACCTGAAGTGTATGTAACCTGAAGCGTATGTAACCCGAGGTACCACTGTAAAGCGTATTACTTAAGCTGCAATTAAAACAAAGAAAACAACCTTGACTGTGGAAAGATAGCAATTCCAGCTAAGTTTAATTTTTTATGTTTGTATGATCAGGACATGGAGCAGGATCAATTTCCTACCCTTCTGTTGTTAGGTCATAAAGCTTTAATATTTCCTACTATTAGGGAAATGGAACATTATTGTGCAGGTTTTCCTGTGCCTAGCCATTTGACTCTTACAGTAAGCATCTCTGCTTATTTCAGTGGCGCCTAGAGGTGACTCAAGTGTCCAGGTGCTCATGACAAACTCCATCCCAACATAACTGAATCATCTCAGTATATATGTGGGATCAATGCTTGAAAGCTCCTCAACACCAACATCTTAGGTACGGTTCTCTGTGGTGGCAGCCTTTAAGTGGTGGAATTCCTTCGCTCCAGAAGTTCATTAGCATTATACAGTTTTCAGCAAATGCTGAAGACGCACCTCTTCACCCTGGCTTTGAAACTTGGTGTGCATTTTCAGGATGCGGGTGGCGCTGTCATCTAAACCACTGAGCCTAGGACTTGCCAATTGGAAGGTCGGCAGTTCGAATCCCCGTGACGGGGTGAGCGCCCATTGCTCGGTCCCTGCTCCTGCCCCCTAGCAGTTCAAAAGCACATCAAAGTGCAAGTAGATAAATAGGTACAGCTTCAGCGGGAAGGTAAACAGCGTTTCCGTGCACTGCTCTGGTTTCACCAGAAGCGACTTAGTCATGCTGGCCACATGACCTGGAAAAACTTTCTGCAGACAAATGTCGGCTCCCTCGGCCAGTAAAGCAAGATGAGCACCACAACCCCAGAGTTGTTCACGACTGCACTTAACTGTCAGGGGTCCTTTACCTTTACTATTCCTGTGATTGAAATTTGTTTTGATCGTTTTCAATACTGAATTTTAAATTGTTGTAACTCAACCTGCTGGTGGAGGGCGAGGCAGTAAATTTAACAACAGCAGCAAGAAGGCAGACTTTTATTTATGTTTTTTGCCCTCACTTTGTTTAGGACTACTTGTGGTGTGGTTTCTATAGTATTTTAATGCATTTTTTATAAAAAAAACCTCTTACTACAATAAAAGATTACATGCCACAGATGTAGCTAGCCATTCTGAGGTGGCAGAGCTACAGAAGGCTACATCTCTGGCTACATCTCTGGCAAACAAGGACAATAAGCTTTCTTTTCTCTTTTCTGTTTCTGTTTAGCATAATTGATGTTGTACTTTCATCTTTCCTCATTGTAACTCACTGAAAGCCCCATCTATTTTCAGTTAATCGCTACCACGTAAACATATTAATTTTATAATTAATTTGACTTCAGGCAATACAATTATAGACTTGCACAATGATGGGACTTTACTTACTGTAGCTAACTGTTACCAATAGCGACTTAACGACACATTACTCAACTACAAGAACTACTAGTACAATAATGCAGAGTTCTGTTCCATACCATACATCAAGACCAAAGCTGTTTGGCTGAAACACTGCAGTCACAGATATTTATGTTCTAAGTGTCATGGTGGGGCATCTTAATGGCCCAGTTCACACAACACATTACACCACAGTTAAAAACGAACTGTATTTTAATATAAACACACCTTGTGCTAGTGTACACTGCTGAAAATGTTTCATTCCACTACTTTCCTGTTCCTGTTGATGCCACACTGCCAGGAGACAAATCACAAGAAGCAGGCCAAGAGCAAATCTTGGGTACCGCTTGTGGTTTTGCTTGGAAAGAAATAAGCCATGAGTCTTGAGTTCAGATTGCAAAACAATCCGGACCTTTGCTTGTTTCCCTGCAGAGAAGTAGGAACTTCTCAGCAACATAAACATTCCCACAGTTTGTTTTAACTACGGTTTCAATGTAACATGCAAAACTGGGCCAATATCAATTTATTGCATTTGTATCCCAACTTTTTCTCCAATGAGATTGGAGTGGTATAACAGTGGTGCACCGCAAGACGAATGCCTCGCAAGATGGAAAACTCGCTAGACAAAAGAGTTTTCCGTTTTGGAGGTGCTTCACAAAACGAATTTCCTATGGGCTTGCTTCGCAAGACGACAATGTCTTGCGAGTTCCTGCTGATTTTTTTTCCTTCCCCCCCCCCTTTTTCTAAGCCGCTATGCCACTTATCAGCTGATCCGATCAGCAGATAAGCCGCTAAAAGCTGCTAATAGCGCTAATCCGCTAATCCTTCAATGGGCTTGCTTCGCAAGACGAAAAAACCGCTAGACGAAGAGAATCACAGAACGGATTCTTTCGTCTTGCGAGGCACCACTGTACATGGCTCTCCCCCTTATTTAAAGCCCACAACAATCCTGTGAGGTACATTAGGCTGACTGGCCCAAGGTCACCCAGTGAAGTTCATAGCTGACTAGGAATTTGAACCCTGGGTTTTCCCTTTGAATGGCACTAACAGTTCAACCACTGTAACATTTTCATATGGCACAAAGCACTGTGAGGAGTTGGTGGGCAAGCAAATCAACTGGTCATACACAGGGACAAGCTTGTGACTCACATTAGTTGAAGTCAACGGTCAACTACAAGGAAGCAGGCCACTGAAACAGTGGCTCAGGACAACCCTTAACAACGTATCTTGCAAATATATTTCCATGAGCAGAGGGTTGGGTGTTAATTAATGGTGTAGGCCACATGGCAATTGACACCTCATCATGGTTTGAGGAATTCCTAAAGCATGGGGCTGAGGAACACTGACACGAAAGTTGAATGTTTGTTTTTCAACACCATAGGAGTGTTTTAATCCAAACTACTGATGAAGGGTTGATCAACAGCACTTGTAACTAGTGCATTTTTCTTTTCCTACCTACCAGAGTGCTGTAATTGGGACATACAAGTATTATTTATTATACAAATCCAGATTTCAATCTACCATAGGAAGACAGCCACCATACATAATTATGCAAACCCAAAAACTTACGTATCTTTGTTGGGTGAAATCAGTAGCTTAAACACAAATTAAGGGAATATCTATTTGCCCAACCAGCAGCATCATTACATCAAATCACACAAGTGTGGGGGGGGTGCTTTTTTAAAGAGTAGTATTACTCTCTTAAATCCCTCGGATAAGAAGATCAGGATTTAGTCAATTGCATTACAGGAAGAAAAGCTACTGGGAGTTGTATTAAAAGTGCTAGCTCAAGTAACTAAATGAGAAAAAAAGAGTATTAGCATTATAGCTGGATTCTTGGCAATCAAAGATTTGGATGGCTATTTCATGTCAACATTTTGAATAGCAAGCCTCTTAGACCTGCTCGCACCCTCAGATCTTAGCCATAGAGTACTTATGTCTCACCAGACCTCTTTCTATCAGCTTTCCTTATCACAGAACACTACCTCCTGTTTTTATACTGATGCTTGCAAACAACCACTGAGTCCATGCTTTCACCAGAAAGTAAGCGCCATCTCAGCGTTTTCTAAGGCAACCAAAGACCACAGCATTGAAGTAAGGAGAGGTTCTCTCCCTCCTCACATACTGTGAAGATTTCTCTTCTCCCCATCATCCATACCACCATCAGCACCAAGGCACAGGCCCCACTCTCCAGGTCCAGATTTGCTTTCCACACCTAGTAGGAGCTTCGATCACAGGGCATAAGTGTGTGTGTGCGTGCAGCTCAGAGTGTGGTGTTGATAACACCAAAGGTGCAGGTTCGACCCCCGTGTGGGGCAGCTGCATATTCCTGCATTGCAGGGGGTTGGACTAGTTAATCCTCAGGGTCCCTCCCAACTCTACACGTCTATGATTCTATGCATGCACCTCCCCATCGCAAAAGACATTTCTTTCTATCACCTCCCACTGACTTTCATGAGATAATTTTACAGACTGTGGCATTTCCTAGGCTGCTAAGCATTGCCCCTACTCTCGATGCTGTCACCAATTAGCTTTAATAAGTTATTGTAGTTTTAAAGTAAGGGAATAGGAGAGTCTATGACACTTACAGTGGTACCTCGGTTTAAGAACTTAATTCGTTCTGGAGGTCCGTTCTTAACCTGAAACTGTTCTTAACGTGAGGTACCACTTTAGCTAATAGGGCCTCCTGCTACTGCCGCACCATGATTTCTGTTCTCATCCTGAAGCAAAGTTCTTAACCCGAGGTACTATTTCTGGGTTAGCAGAGTCTGTAACCTGAAGCGTCTGTAACCCGAGGTACCACTGTACTACCAAGGAAAGAGAACAAGGCAATTGCAAAGCCACAATAGACCCAAGTTGCCCAGTTCCAAGGTTTTAAGCAATGTAGGAGCAGCTAGAGTAGTTACGCTTACACCTTTTCCCAGTATGCATACAGCAAGCGTTCATGTTAGATCAAAAGCAGATAACACAATGTCAGTTCAACTTACTTTCACAAATGCAACCTGGAGATGCTCCTTTGCTAGTTCAGCCATGACACTGTTCATTTGAACACACTGAGGAGCCCACGGGGCCCAGAAATGAACCACCACTAAAGACCTGTGATGAAATAAACAGGGAAAACAGAGAGGTCAGATGCCAGCAAAACAATGTAAAATAAAAGCAATCAGAGTCACGGAAAAGGTTCTAGCTCTAATCGCTAGTTATCTCACATGAAAAGATCTCGGGAAGAGGACAGAAAAGGTTTCTCTCTGCCTGAGACCCTGGAGAACCACTTCCAGTCAAAACTGAGATTAGTTGGCCAAACAGACCAACAATCTGACTCCATGGCTGCATTTAGATTGTTCTCTGTCAGCT